CGGGGCGCAGGCGGCAGCCGCGGTCGCCCCGCTCTCCCGCCCCGTGGCAGGCGGGGACGTGAAGTCTTTTGCGTGCGGGGCTCTGCTGGGAGTTTACTCCCTTGAGTGAGCTTATATTTTAAGGTCTGCAAGTTTCAGCGTCATCCGGAGACGCGGTCAGAAAGGCGCAAGCGGAACCGCGGGGTTTGGAGGCCGCGGGGTGGCCGGCGTTATTTGCACCGCTGTAGCCTCCTTTCTCTTCTGTGTGTGGCCAGCCTTGTTCTGCTGCCAGTCGCGGGCTCGCTAAAGTTTTGCCCTGAAAACCAAACGTAAGAACGGCGTTGCTGGGGATTTGTGTGCCACGCAATGCGACCGCTTCCTAAATGCAATTACAGGTGCATTTTTCCTGTCAAACTGATTTTCCTAGTTGTCAGAGAGCCAGCTTGGAGATGAACGCCCAACTCAGCTGCGTTTGACTCGTTTATCATCATCAATAAAGTTTCTGTCATCGGTATTAATTTACAATACATGGGATTGCCTGCAACAGGGTAGACTCCACCTCGGACTCCATAAACCGACCAGCTTTGCAGTATTATTAACGGGAGCGAAAATCTGAAACCAGTTCTCTGGGAGGAATCCTGACGCCGCGTCTCACAGTTTTACTAGCCTGTCCTTCAAAGAACAGAGGTATCAAATATATTTGACAGCTGTCTGGTGAAAGTTAAATTTTAACAGTACTTCTTTTCACACATGAAGTATGAAGTAAAAGTGGACCAAGAACATGTATGACCATTTCAGTGTCCAGCAAACGTAGGGATGATAACATGTGCTAAAAATCATCAAACTTCAGGAAAGAAATAAAAAAAATGAACATACAGATTAAAAGAAAATGGGAAAGGTCAAAGTGAATCTACCAAGATGGTTATAACTATGGCACAAACCTGCAAGGTCACATTGACCAGGTTCCCAAGAAGGCTGGTTGTCTAGAACACAGGCAAAGCAAAGCAGCTTATAGCAGTAAGGGGGGGGAGGGAGGGGAGGAGGGGAAAAAAAAAAGGTTTCCCACATATAGTCTGAACTCAAAGCACTGGAATTTCCATGAATCTCTGGGCTGCAACGGTTCACAAAATTATGTTTGTAATCCACTTATGTCCCTTATGGTGGATAAAAATAAAGTCTTTTTTTTTTTTTTCCTTCAGTTTGGGTCCCCAAACACCCGTGAGATAACAAGGAACTGTAGGGACTAACTGCATATATTGGATTCAAATATGTCACTCAACTGATTGAAAGGCTCCACTGATCTAACAGGCAAATGTCTTCTATTATCCTTTCCTTTCTTTGTAGCTTCAGCTACAGCTTTGTAGCTTTTTTTTCCCTACCTAATTGTATTCCTGGAGTTCAAGGGGGTAGCCAGTGTACTTCTTGAAAATGATACTGCTTACACTGGGCTAAATGGCCCACTTTTAGCTTGCTAATGCAACTAAAAACTTGTTGAAGATGAAAAAGTCATCAGCCAATCACATTACATCCCAATTAATAGCAGGTTTTCCTCTTCTGACAGCAAGATAACTGATTAAAGCCCTGTAGTACACCCTAGAAAGCCTATCTATTTGGGGTCTAATTTGCTTCTCCCTCTCTCTAGCAGGAATCCCAGAGTAGTTGGAGGAGCAGAAGGTGGAACATGAAGTAGTTGATCTGTGTTGAAGGATTCCCGTTAGCTGTCCAGGCCATTAGAGCAGTTCAGAACAGGAATGAAGTGTTCAATTGCCTCATTGAAGATGAATCCTATTAGCGGTTCAATGCAGTTGTAAGCCTAGAGAACAGATCCATTTCAAACTGGTTAAACAGTAAGTAAAGCCTCAACAATTTCATTTACCTAGAACAGTTCCTCTCTGCAGGAGTCACAGTGGGATGTGGAAGAAAAGACCCTGCATGTGAAGAGGTATTTGCATCAGGAAGTTCCAGTAAGAAGCCGCTGAATGGCAAGAAGTATTTGCCTCAAAAAAATCTTAGGAAGAAGGAAAAATCCTTAGACATGGGTTTGCTCTTTAGGTTAATAGTTGTAGTAAAATGGAAAAGGAGTATGCTGTGTTATCTTACTGTATCTGTTGCTGTCAGTTCTGCTTGCAGCAGACCAGGGGCTGGCTCCTGGAGAATGTAGTTAGGTTGCAAGAAAGGTTCCGGCCTTGGTTCATAAATGTTTCCTGTTTTACAGCATTTAGACTCTAGGTCTTGTAAGCAAAGGGAGTAAGCACTCAAGGGGAGGTGATGTCAAGTTAAATCCCAAATGCTATATTTTTCCTCTACTAAGCCACACACATTGCTTAGCAGTCATTCCAGGAGTGTGTTGCCAACATATCCTCTAGATCCTCAGCTTGAGCTCCAGAGATGACAGCTGCAGAGATTCTTGTCTCTGATACACAGGAAAACAGGGAAAGCTTTTTCCCCTTTCCCCAGGTATTATTAGCAGGTGTCCCTCTCATAATGATCACAGTGATACTTGAAGCCCGAAGGTGTTTTTTTATTAGCATTAAGTATTTAGTTAAACAGGTTAAGCCCTACCTCTGTAGCTCGCAAAGTCCAAAATTTAATCAGTAGACAAATCCTTATACTCAGCAAATGGATCTAGATTTGGAAAACCTTGTGCAAGTTCAGTGCCTGGGTACACATTATTTTTCTTAATTAGGCCTCACCAGATTACTAAGCTTTCTAATATTGCATAAATTGTATCATCTAAGTTATTAGCCTATTAATGTTACAAGGAAGGTTTTTTTCTTTTTAGAAAGAAAAACGATCATTAAAAAATTGTTCAGTTGATTGGAGAAAGTTGAAAATGCAGTTTCTTTTCTCCTAAATTGGCTGAGTCCATGCCACATAGGAAGTCCCACCCCCAGTGCACATCATTGCCATGATCCAAATTCATGCTGGAATGAGACTGAGATGCACATCCTTTTCTAGCTGGCTGTGAAACTCTTTTCACGTGACATAGTCCAAAGGCCCAGCTGGGAGATGCTGCTCTCTCCCCTTCGGCGTGCTACAGCCAAAGCTCTAGTCTAGTCTGCGTCAAAATGGCAGTACGCTTGCTCAAAACTATTCACCAATGCAATAGTTCTAGCAAGGATAACAGCGTATTTACAAATACAGTTTCACCATGATGCCCAAGTAGCATTATCCCATGTTAGAGACCAGGAGCTAGAACAAGGAGAGTTTGAATGACTTTCGAAAGTCCCCTAGTAGAACCAGTGGCAGATTCATAACTGAGTCTGTGCTTCTGACTGCTAGGAGTTAGAAAATCAGAGGTATGTATCCTCAGGCTACAGGCTACTGTTTGTTCTTTGCATCAACATCTTTGTTTTAATATTTCTGCCACGTGTGTATATAAAATGGCCATAAATACTCAGGGAAAATCAATTAATGATAAGCTAAAATACTGAACTGTGAAGTATGGCCACTGGGAATGTAGCACACAAACTTCTCTGACAGTTACACTGTGGGGGCAGAAGAGTGAAGTAAACAGGTTGGGGGGGAATAATCTCTTAAATCAGACAGTGTCAATACTGAAAAGCTTTTTGGTTAGTTGCAAGGGTTTGATTCAGCTGAGCTGAAGGAAATACTTTTTTTTTCAGTGATCAATCCACATTGAATCCCTTGTGCAGTAAGCAGCCATAGAAAGGTTTTGTGGAATTAGTATTATACATCACACATTCAATCCCTTTGTGAGTGTTGAAAGCATTGTCATTCTTCTAATCACTATATCCTATCTTTGATCCACAACAAATATGCACACCCAGCTCTACTAATCTCCATTATGATTGTGAGGTATCTGTATTTGCCAGTACTATGCCAGCAGAAATAGTTAAAATTTTTCTTCCTCCTATGATTTTGGGCTTTGCTTTTTTTTTTCTCTC